TTGTGTCAGACGTGAATGTCGGACATGACTACTTCATGGAAAAGGAAGAGTCAGGACAACGTTGATCTCAAATTATTTCAACACTAAACATTAAATGATAAGCTTATGATCTTTGGAGAAAGGGATCCTATTCAACTTTGACGAATTAGAAGCTTCCCCTATGCAAACTCAGGTTCATATAAAACAGACCATTGCCCGCTGTGTTACCTCTTTTTCTGAAGATAAAGAAATCCAAAACGGCTATAGTAAGTGCAAGCAAACTAATCTATGGATAAAGATGCACTTACTGTTATTGGTTCTTCAATGTCAAGCAGCCCAACATTATCCACCAACATGTCACCATATTCACCAGTACACCAAACTGCCACTCGAACAAGGGATTCCTTATGAAGAAAACAATTTGCATTTAATAGTTAAACAGATACAAATATCAAATTCAGAAAAAAATCTAAAATAAAGCTAAGAATACCTGTTCTGTTGATGCCTGAAAAGCTCTGTACAATGCCCTGACTGTATATCCATGGAGGTCAGAAGCATTACTTATGACAACGATAAGTGCATGCCAGACTTCATCTTTTACAAAATTTCCAGCCTACTTGTGAAGGATAAATGTCAGTTCTACTGGAACATAATAATCAATAGAAACATTGAAAGAGCTAAGAAGATAAATAACAAATGTTGCATGTTATGATCATGAGTGTTTGTGATTGATAGCTCGGCTCGTCGAAGGGCGATTGAAACATAGTTTGAGATTACTAGCCGAAATGCGAGTCAACATCCAACAGATGAAGGTTCTCCCATCAAGCAAACTATAAAATGAACATGCATTCTGCTACTTGAAAGTCTGTGACCAATGCCCCAATCCTTTTCAACAATTTAGTTTCATGAATAAAATGAAAAACATTGACATATAGTAAAATGAATATATAGGATTGTGGAAGATGAACCTTCACTAGCCATACACTTTAGTCCCCACACTTTCTGGAAAATTGCCATGTCTACTCTTCCCTATTGCTTCATTATTATGCAGATTGAGAAAATGTTAGGGCAAAAGCCAATTCCAAGTTGACCACGAAAACATAGAGTAAGCTACTTTTCCGTTTTAATTGCTCCTCCTTACAAGTTGCTAGTAGTGGAGGCTTGAATTCTTGTATGGATTTCATCAATCACGCTCCTAAATCCTAATTGACTTAAAAAGGGCATAATAATACTTCCCCGGAAAATCCTAGATATCCTCATTGGGATAACACTTTACAATTAAAAGGATTACGATCATACCAGAAACCATGCAAATTGTAACACAAGCTAATACCAATTGAATGCCCAACAAATTTTTAGGACTAAACCACCAATTCTCAATGGTCAAAAGCTTAAATTCATGTTATAGGGTAACTTGAGGCCTTTTATGGTTTCAACTTTTCTGCCTTTGATAGTACAATGGATCAAAGGCAACAAGCAGAAAAAGTCATAGCTGAGACGGGTTCAGCCATTATATTTAACTTGAGAAATCTTGTGGCTGAACTAGTGCAGTTGACAGCAAATTTGGTATCACTTGAGAAAAGATACCAAAAAAGGTTATTAACATTGCAAATTCTTTATACAAAATTTTAAACAGGGTAAGAATGTATTCACTTTCCTTTGAAAGAATTTATACACGAGGTCATATGTCCTACAAAGAAACTTGGTAATAAAATAAAGGTTAAAACATGTTTCACACCATTATTTAATGGATTCGCCTGCAAAAGGTTGGATCAAACGAAAGACTGAAATAATCACATCAGTGATCTAGAACAAAAAATAATGTTCTGCAACACCTATAAGGAACAAAGACTGCAGTGGATGCAACTCAAACAAGAGAAAATACAGTAGCGGGACAGAAACATGGACAGGAATGAATTTAGTATTCACTCCAATCATATAACAATGATATGTATACTACATATACCTCAGAGAGAACCTTGAGCATCTGATCAATGTACCAAATTTTCTCCGGGGAAAACCTGAGGTAATGGAAATGATTGTTAATTCACTAAACAATGCTGCAAAGAAATTTCAAATTTATCTTTCAGCATCCTTCCCCCGGCCGACATAAAAAAAGTTATCTGATAAACCAGAAGAACATTCCAACATCAGAAAAAGACAAAAGGAACTTCAATAAATTTAATAAAGGTAGCAAGCCATTAAAATCGATCATATTAAATCAATTGTATTATATAACTGCCTTCTCCAAGATTGATAACCAGTCCTTTTATTTCCTAAAAACGGGCTTGGAGTCCAAGATATGCGCTAGATACATCCAAAGCACAAACATGAAAATATTGAGCCAAGAAGACAAAGCATACAAGACAACTGTAAATAATATAACATACACAAGGAGAGCTAAAGTGGCATTTTTTATTTGATTAACAAAGAGCACAACTTACTTTTCAACAAGGGAGCATATCTTGGCAGTAATATCTTCCTTAAATTCTTGATCACTTACTTCCAAATATTCAATTAGCTCTTTCGTGAAAGGCTTTACATTGCTTTCATTCACTAGCATGTATACAAGTTCAAGTCCCTTTTCTGAATTCAAGCATCTGAATCCTGGAAATGTGAAATCTCGAATAAGAAACTTCTTCAGATGAATAAAACTTACATTTTACAATAATGCCATTTCAGTTCACATCAAAAGCAACAAAGAAAAAGGTGGAAACATCTTTTTTTATTAGATAGCACCAAGGCTCAAATTTAGGATGCCTAGGCAATTCCTAATCCACTGTCTCTACCTCTGATCCAAGCCCAAGAGACAATTTTGGAAATTATTATATCTTCAAAAGAATCCCTATGCATCTGTCCAAGGGTCAATCAAAACAAGAGAAATTAACCAAAAAATCATAAGAGTGACATGTAAGAAAATTGAGGGTTCTCTATGTAGAAAGCTGCCGACAATTAGGAATTTAATTTTTCTTAGAAGTTTAATTTATTTGTAACTTATCTATATTATACTATTAGGATTCAATTTCTTAGGATATAAGATAAGTTTAGGAGATATAAGTTAGGAAGAAGGGGAACCTAGGGCTCTAACTTGTAATCCACGGCATATAAAATAGGATATGTTTTCTGTTTTTCAATAAGAATTTAGATCAGAAAATTTCTTTTTCTTCTCTTGATTAATTCCTTATTTCTATTCTCTCGATTTCTCACAAGATATCAGGCTAGGTTATCAAACCTAGGAAATCATGGAAAATCCACATCATTGGAGGTCAGTTCAGGCCCCAACAATCATCTCTCAACACAGTCATCCAACCTCACTCAACAGCAGCCATGAGATTAATCCCTTGAACATGCTGGTACAACAAGGTACTATTTCTTTTGCAAGTACGACAGAAAACAATAACTTGAGATCTTGGATAATGGATTCTGAAGTTTCAGGTTACATGACAGGGGATCTTAGTGTGTTTCACAAATTCGGCCCACAACCTAGTCTCTCAACTGTTCGAATGGCTGATGGATCACTCTCCAAAGTGAAAGGGATTGGATCAGTTCAATTAACAAAGGTCCTCCTTCTATCCTCTGTCTTTTATGTTCCTAAATTGACTTGTATTCTTATTTTTGTTACTAAGCTATCTAGTGAATTAAACGGTGTTACCAAATTTTATTCCAATCTTTGTAAATTTCAGGCAATTGATTCGAGGAGGGTGATTGGCAGCGATGAATTGTGTGGTGGTCTCTATTTGCTCAAAGGGAATGCTTCTCTATTTAAAATTTCATTCAAGTTATGATTTAAAGTTTGTTTCTACACCTCTTAGTTCCATTCTTATTTCAGACCCACTAATGTTACGGCCTTTTTGCCTCAATTATCCAAATTTTGATTATCTTGACGAACTAATAAATTCCAGATGGGGCAAAAACAGATTTTCAATAGAAAATTTTCAAGGGACGATTGCCCCGATCCCCCTCAGTCCATCCCTAGTTACAAACATACTCGGTTTGTCCATCCCATAATAAAATACACTCCACCACAAGCATTCTCCGTATTACATAGTGATATTTGAGGACCTTCACATGTGAAAAGTATTAATGGGGCCATTGATTTATATCCTTTATAAATAATCATTCTAGAATCACGTGAACATTTCTTGTGAAAGATAAGTCAAAAACTAGGGGTACACTCAAATCCTTTTACACTATGATTCAAACCCAATTTAAAAGTTCCAGATTCTAAAATCAAATAATGAGAGTGAATACTTTACAAACACTTCGGGTTCATACTTTAAAGAAAAAGGGAATTTTCAGAAAATAGAGAATTCAATTAATTCTCTTCATAAAATACCTATATTCTACATATTCGTCTAATCAAAGTAAATAAATGTTACTCTCCTATCACTAAAAAAATGTAAAATTCTCATTGTTTAGCATCAACCCTATTTTGCCAAAACTATAATTCAAGGGAATTTCATCTTTGGGGCAACCTTCAAACAGTCAAACTACCCAATTCAAGTGCATTCCTTTGTCTTCTGTAGAACCTAAAATCACTGAACCAAATACCACTTTCTTGAGACCAAAAGCTTACCTTGTTCAGCATCTCCAACTAAACATCATTTGTGTCAACTCCTCAAACCAAAATACCATCCCAAACTCAACTTGACACCAATAGAGAACTTTGTGTCTATACCAAGAGGGGATGAATTACTAAAATTCTAGAGGATATCACACAAGACAGAAATTGTCAAGAACCTGAACTGGAGCCTCCTGTCTCAGAAATCAACACAGGTATGAAACCTTCTCCTAGTGAACAACCTGTTCCTTCTATTGATAACTCAGAACTACCTATTGCTTAGAGAAAAGGAGTTTAAAAATGCAAAATGAGAGTATGTAGCCTATGGAGAACTGTTACAATCATTTAGAGTATTCACCTTATCACTTGATAACAGATGAATTTCAAAATCAATTCAATAAACACTTAACTTCCACAAAGGAAGAAAACAATGGGTTTTAACTGGATATCGATAGTAAAAAATACAAGGAAGATGGGAGTGTTGAAAGGTTCAAGCTAATCTTGGATTTACTTTATGTAGAAATAGGATTCATGAAAAATATGTTTTGTATTTCTGATCGTTAATTGAGAAGTTACGGCAGGGATGTTTTTATATAAGTTTAGTTGACTGTCCTATATAGGATAGATTTCCTACAAAAAAGTTTTCTAGAATTATTAATAAAATAAAATACTAATAATTAATCATAATCATAATATAACTCATAAACACTAATAATTAATAATAATCGTAATATAACTCACTCCCCCTCAAGCTGAGGAGTAAATACTATAGAGACCCAGCTTGGATGTATCTCGTCGAAGTTGATTCTTGGAAGCGCCTTAGTCAAGATATCGACTAGTTGATCTTTTAAAGAGACATAATTTAGTTTTACTACCCCGCCATTCACCTTTTCGGTGATGAAGAGTCTGTCGATCTCCACATGTTTAGTTATGTTATGATGAATTGGGTTCTTAGCAATACTTATAGCTAACTTACTATCACTCTGAAGCTCAAAGTAGGTTCTATTGCACACTTTTAGTTCAATTAGGATTCTTTGTAACCAAACACTTTAATAGATTCCAAGTGCTATCACCCGATATTCTTCTTCAACACTACTTTTGGAAACCATGGCTTATTTCTTGCTTATTTTCCTCCAAACAAATTAACAATAACTTATAGTTGATCTCCTATCTATTAATTTTCCAGCCCAAATTGAATCGAAGAAAATCTTGATTATTCTATTTTCATTTTTTTGAAAATTAATCCATGTCCTGGTATTATATTTAAATACCTCAAAATTTGATATGTCATCTCCAAATGTTCTTCTCTAGGATCATTCACGAATTGACTCACAATGCTGACAAAGAAGGCTATGTGTGGCCTAGTAAGTGATAGATAGATAAGTTTACCGACTAACTTTTGATATTGTCCTTATTTACTGTATTCCTATTTTTCCTAAGCTTCAGATTTGTTTCCATGAGAGTTTTCAAAGGCTTGCAACCATTGATTTCAGTTTCAGAGAATAAGCCTAGAATGTACTTACTTAAGTTAATGACAATCCCTACTCTTGACCTTGCCACTTCCATGCCAAAAAAATATCTCAAGGTCTCTAAGTACTTGGTTTCAAATTCTCTTTTTAGCAACGCCTTCAATTTCTCGATTTTTCCTAAGTCGTCACCTGTGATGATGATGCCATAAACGTAGACAATTAAGATTGTCTTTTTCTTGTTTGGAGCGGTTTTGACAAACAAAGTATGATCAATTAACATTGCTTATAATTGTCTTGAAAAAGTACTTTCATGAATCTGTCGAACCAGGCAAGAAGAGACTGTTTTAGACCATATAAAGACTTAAACAATTTGCATACTTGTTAATTTCCGCATTGTACATGTACCCCTGGTAGGAATCCGCATATAGACCTATTCTTCAAGATTACCATTCAGGAATACGTTTTTAACATCAAGTTGATGAAGTATCTAGTCCTTATTTACTACTAAGGACAATAGTACTCTTACAGTATTGAGCTTCGCAACTCGGGCAAAAGTCTTTTGATAGTCCACTCCATGAATCTGAGTAACCCCTTTGCCACGAGTCTAGCCTTATACGCTTAACACTGCCATATGTCTTGAATTTCATGGTAAAAGCTCATTTGTATCTAATTGGTTTCTTTTCTTTAAGAAGATCAACAATTACTCAGGTTTTGTTGCTTTTAATAGCAGAGAGTTCTTCTACCTCTTTCTTCCATTCGGAATTTTTTAAAACTTCTTCAATGGTATCCGGAATGCAGATGTTGTCAATCTTAGGTATAAATGTCTTAAAAAACATATGTTAGTTTACCATAAGCAATAAATTTTTCAATAGGATGAGTTGTGCATCTTCGTACTCCCTTTCTTTAAGCAATTGGTAACTCACTAGTGTCAACCAAAACCTCTAAATTACTTTAATCTCCTTCTTCATTTTCCAATGAATTTAAACATGGTTCTGGCTCTTGGCATTGTGCAGGTCGTATTGGAATAGGGATGTGTTTAGGTCGTCGTTTGTAGGTAAAAAGATCATTTTGAGAAATAAGTGGTGACACAGATGGATTTGGTGTTTTAAGAGAGTCCAATGGGTTAACAATTTGGTGTATGTTTTCAATGTCAGGTGTGGTAGTGGTGTTAGGTGGATTTGGTGTTTTTGGAGAGTCTAATGGGTTAATGGTTTGGAGTATGTTTTAAATGTCAGGTGCGGTAGTGGTGTTAGGTGGTCATGTTTCGGTTGGTTCAGTGGGAGAGAGGTTGATGGACAGTTCGGTATTAATCGGAAAAAACTGAAATTCACACTCACTCCCCCCCTGGATTTCAGATTTAGAGAAGAAAGGTTTATGTTCAAGGAAAGTGACGTCTATAGATGTAAACAATTTCTTAGTGGAAGGAAAATAACAACGATAACCCTTTTGAAGAGAAGAGTAATCAACAAAGACACACTGGATTGCTCGGGGATCAAGTTTAGACTTAGTATGGTTATGATCATGAACAAAAATGGTACAACCAAAGACATGAAAAGGAACACTAGTACTGAACGGTTTAAAGTGAGGGAAAACTGGGAAAAAACGTCTTGGGAAATTTTAAAACCAAGGATTTTGTTGGGTATGCAATTAATGAGATAGGTGACAGTTAAGAGAGTCTCTCCCCAAATATATTTAGGAACATGAGTGGAAAAAATAAGTGCTCAAGTTACCTCAAGAAGATGACGGTTTTTTCGTTTAGTAACCTCTTTTTGTTGAGGTGTATCGACACAGAAAGTGAGATGGATAATTCTTTTTTCCTGAAAGAAAGACCCCAATGAGTAAGAAAAATATTCACTACCATTATTTGACTTAAATATGTCAATAGAACTCTGAAACTGGTTCTCAATCATCTTGTTGAACCGTTTAAAAATATCCTTAGCCTCAGATTTATCCCGCATAAGAAAAGTCCATGTTGTATGAGAATGATCGTCAATAAAAGAAACAAACCAACGAACACCATTTAAGCTTTTGACATGAGAAAAACCGTAAATGTCACTATGTATCATTAAAAAAGGCTTGGAAGAACGGTATGGAGAAGGAGGACATGTGTCGTGAATGTGTTTGGCAAGATGTCAAATATCACAAGAAAAAGATGCAGAACTTTTATGAATAAAGATATTGGAAACAACTTGGCAAGATAAGTAAAACTGGGGTGACATAACCTAAAATGCCATAAAACAATCTCAGCAGACACATTATTAGGTAATGGAGATATTGAAACAAAGGACATAATAGTAGAGTGTTTATGGTTTGGAGGAGGGGCGTCAAGAATGTAAAGTCCACCATAACGCTTAGCAGTACCAATCACCATCCCCGAGCTCAGATCCTGAAATTCGTAAATATCATAGTTAAATTGGGAATTGCAACCCAAATCCGCAGACAATTTACTAACCAAAAGAAGATTACAAGCCAAATTCGGAATATAAATAACATGAGATAAAATAATAAGTTGATTAATTCGATTATAACCACTGCCCTCAATCGATGAAAGGGAACCATCAGCATTTTGGCACTAGAAGAAGAAATTACTTTTGTAAAATTTTGAAAGAGAGTGAAGTATCCCGTCATATGATTACTAGCTCCTAAATCAACAATCCATGAAATAAAAGTCAAAGATAACAGAGCGAAGTTAGGTTTAACCATTGTCTCTGCGAGACCTTTGAAACCGAAATTTGGTATCAAAGATAACGATTTAAAGGATTTTTTAAATATGATCTCCCATGATTACATTGCGTTATAAATACATATTCTAGTGTCTTTGATATTCTAGTTTCAAAGACACTTCCAACTAGCAGGTTACAGTTAATTTATTCAAATTGTAATCACGATTAACGAGAGGGAGATTCCACGAACGAGCAAAGCGGCGTCGACGAACAAGGATTGGATGCCGATGCGGGTTTGTGAGCAAAGGAGTGCAGGAGATGATATACGTTGAAGCAAAGCAGCAGTTTGTCGATCAGAACGGTAGTGGCGTCAATAGAGAACGACGACGAGAAAAACAATGACGAAAGCAATTGAACGATCAAGATCGCGGGCAACCTAGTAGTACTCTAACTTGTAATTTACAGCATAAAAACATGATGAGTTTTTTGTTTTTCAATAAGATTTTCGATCATAAAATGTCTTTATCTTCTCTCAATTTCTCACACTATAAAGAAAAAAAGAGATGGATAGCAAGAAAACATAGAGATGACTATCTGATCTTTGTCCTTAAGGGAAAAAATAAAAGATAAAGCGAAATCCAAAGAGAGAATCCTCTCAGTAGCTAGTAATAAGTCTTATTCCCACATGTATGGTGTTCACCAAAAGTAATAAACAAATAACTTAACAGCGAAATAGAGTAGCTAAAGGGAAAGAAAAAGAAAAAAAATCCTTAGGCTTCCTAAGCAAGAACTAAATGAGAAACCTATTGAAATCATCAAAGATGAAATTATATATCGTGAGGAAGCACCTTTACACATTCCAAAATTGTTGCTCTATGCCTCTGAACTGCTTTAGCGTCCACTACAATACCCTTCATAAGCATGTTCAATCCAACATATCTGAAAAACATGCTATTTTAAGTTCCATAATATAATCAAGGAGCAAAGAAATAGTGTATAAAGAAATATTGGAAATCAAGATAAGATTTGAAAAGAAAATACCTGATATTGTTGTCACAATTTGACAAGAATCTTCCCAAGATATTAATAGCAAGCACACGTAAGCCTCTGTTATCTTCAATGTTCATGATGGTTTGAACACATTCATAAAGAATAGCATTTCCCACATTTTTGTTTGACTCGGTTCTCGATGCCACCTAAAAGGAATATAACCGTATAGAAAAACATGTAAAAGTGAAACCCTTAACCTTACTAAGAGATGAACTATTGTTGTTTTTAAAATAGATGAAATATTGTTGAATTGTTGAAAATCATGAAAGGAGTTCTCCAACAATTTTAGCTTCTACTTTCATTTCTATAGAAGTATAGATCAACTTTAGAAGCAATGTTCGGTATATCCAAAATAGTTATCTTTCAATTAACATGCTCCATGTAATTTCAAAAATGTTTTTATCGTGTCAATGAGCAAGATTTCAATAGAATACCTAGTTTATTTTCTACAAAGGCCAGGACTTCTATTTTTAATCATGCAATAACATTTTAAATCATAAAACAAAAGAACAAAACTCACTCGTTGTCAAAATTGGTTTATCTCTCCATCGATTATATTCCTTTATGTAGAAAAATATACTATTTAAATATACATACTGATGTCTTATCTTAAGAAACAGCTAAGTTAGGTAAGTAATTGATTCTAGGAGTAATTCTAATCCCTTAAAGTTAGGGATTCTAACTAGTAGAATATATTTACAAAAATCCTACATAATCTTCCTAATTTAGGAAGTTAATCTCTAACACTCCCCCGCAAGCTGGGGCATGGATGTCTTCCATCCTCAGTTTGTCTGTTTTTTATAAGAATTGGAGGCCTCATTAAAACCCCCTTCATAATTGTTAGAACACCTAAGGGTATTCCAGAAAAAAAAACGGAAGGGGAAAAAGAGTACCTCATATTTTATTAAAAAATTTAGGAAAATAAAAATTGTTTAATACAACAGACTATTTTCCAACACAAAACTAGATCCCTACAATAAAAAAATCCAAAACCACAAAACATTTAAATCCTAGAGAGAAAATCTCTGTATTATTCAAGTCCAGCCTTAGCTAGTGAATTTGCTTCAATATTTGAAGATCTAGCAATCCAATGGAGAATACTCTTTTTGCTCGTAATTCTATCTGCTATTTCCTTACAAATTGAAGCAAAAATACAAGGGTATACATTCACAGTCTTTATCCACTCCACAAAATTCTAACTATCACTTTCAATAATAAATCGCCTCTTAGAACTGCATATCGATGCTTCAAAGAAATTTAGACCAGTTCTAATAACCACCAATTACACAAAGGGTGGGGACCTGGACCAGCCGGTTCTGAAAAAGTCCCTAAAACTAGGTTGAAGTTATCTTTAAGAATGCTTCCTACACCAATTGCTTTCCAATCATCTCTTACTGTTGCGCCCACATTCAGTTTGAAAAATCTCTTTGGAGGGGGGATACAAGACAAAGATAATGATGGCTTAGGCTTTAGAATAACAACCAGCTCCCCAAGTAGGGGATCACCAATTAAGGAGTCCTTCAAAATAGGAGCTTTAGGAAATTTTACCAACAACCAAACTTCAAGTCTGAATTTTGCTATGAAAAAAGGTTGGATTATGTCTAAAATCCCCCTTTCGAAGGTAATTGTATTCCTATATTTCCAAATCATCCATAGAACCATCGTTGGAATAAACCTCCAAATGGTTTCTTGAGGCACCAGATTTTCCCAGGCTAATAGAAAACTTACGGCATTTTTAGGAATATATGAGGAAATTTTCTAAAATGAAGTAAGTTACTCCATAATCTTCACGCAATTCGATAAGGAAAAAAATAAGTGTGAAGAAGTCTCAACTTCCCGCTTACACATAAGACATAAGGGGTCCAAAATTCCTTTAATACCTCTCCTTATAAGTTATGCTTTGACTGCCAGCTTTTGGTGTACCACTTGCCACATGAATTTCTCCACCCTTGGTGGAACCAAACCCTTCCAAATATGTAATTTCTAGAATTGGTTTGCTTCCTCCTCCTTAGTGCGTGTTTTTATGCAAGATTTAACCAAATAAATTCCATCTCCAATTCCTCTTCATATAAGGTTGTCTCTATTGTTCCCCTATAAACTACAACTGCTAATTATAGACATTAGTTCAACCCACTAATCTAATTCCCAATCACTCAAATTCCTTTGCATTTCAACATTCCAAGTCCAACCCCTAATTCTATATTCTCCAAACTCCGATACACTTCCATTTTTGTTAATAGATAGGGCAAAGAGTCTAAAAAAATCTTTGAGAGGGGTTTCCATAATCCATAATATTCTCACCATTTCCCACCTTGACTTGTAGACAATTATAGAATTTGGAACCAAAGTCATCATTTTGAACTGATTGTTTACCACACTCCTCCAAATCTAGGAAGCATGTGCTGGAATCTTGTTGCTGAGCACCAAGGATTTGCTGTCCAAATTATATTTGTTGTAGATCAATTTGCTCCACTCGGAATCATCCTCGTTTGCAAACTTCCAAGACCATTTCCCAATTAGGGCTTTATTCATTAAATTGAGATCCAATACACCTAAACCCCCATTATCTTTTGATTTACAAATTGTTACCAATTGATCCAATGAATTTTTTTCCTTCTTTACTCCTCCCCTATAAAATCTCACCATTACCTATTGACACTCGAGGGAAGCCTGAAAATTGATAAATAATAGGGTGGGAGAGCGCATAACACAGATTTCAATAGAACAAGTTTCCCCCCCAATGATAGAGTTTCAACCTTTCACCCATAAAGCTTATTATGAAATTTCTAAATGATTAGCTCCCACAAAACTGCTGCATTCTTCTTAGCTCCAAGCGGGAGACCAATATACTCTTACGGAAAAGTACCAACTGAACAGCCAATAGACAATGCCCAATCTTTAACCTCTTCTTCATTCGTATTAATCCCAAATAATTTACTTTTAGAAAAGTTCAATTAAAGTCCATATATAACTTCAAAGACCCGTAAAACTCTCATTACGTTTCTAATTTGGTTGATCGAAGCTATATAGAAAGTTATAAGATCATTTGCAAATTACAGATGTGAAAGCTTGAAAGACTCATTGTTTCTGCCTATAGAGAAGCCACTGAACAATCCAATAGAGACAGCCTTAGCCAGTAAAAGATTCAGTAGTTCCCCGATTAGATTAAAAATAATGGGCAGAGAGAACAACCATGTCTCAACCCCTTAGCCATTGAAAATTCATCAGTAGGGACTCCATTAACCAAGACCGAAATAGAGGCTGAGGATACACACCTTCTGATCCAGTTGCACCATCTTTCCTCGAAAATCGTTTATTCTATGACTTGAAACAAGATTGGGTAGTCCATTGTATCATAGGCCTTCCAAAAATCCACTTTAATTTGGCAACCTTGAATGAAAGCGAATTGGGAGGGATTAATTAAATCATTGATACACACTTTTAATCTTCTTGAGAAGACCTTCGAAAGATATTTTATACATTCCCCTACCAAGCTGATGGGTTTATAGTCATCTAAGTTGTTTGGATTTGATTTCTAAGGGATAAGAGTAATGAATGTATGATTGATTCCATGTACCCAACTCTTTCTCGAAAATAAATTTCTAAAAATTTTCATAATGTCTTCTTTGAGATACGTCCAGAATTTAAAAAAAAAATATTCAAACCATCTGTCCCAGGGGCTTTGTTGCTGTCGAAAGAATTAATAGCTTCTCATACTTCTTCCTCGAAGAACTCTTTTTCCAATAGGAGACTTTGTTCATTGGATAATTTGGCAAAATTCAAATCCATATCCTCCACTTCCAGAGTTGCCCTTGAATTATAAATTTCAAAAAAATGGTCTCAGACACATTCCTTAATTAGTGAAGGCTCTTGAATGAGACTGCCCTTGACCCTCAAAGCATTCATGGAATTCACCCTTCTTTTGGTTGATACACATAAGTGGAAATATTTAGAATTTCGATCTCCTTTCACCCATTTAGATCTGGACTTTTGGTACCATATTTTTTTCTTCTACTTTGTATAATCTCCATAACTCCTTCCTAAGTTCAACCAAAGAAATAGAACTAGCAGAGGTAGAATTCTGATGCAACACCTATTCTTGATCATGAATTTTCTTTTCCAATGCCAAGATGGATTCTTCCAGTCACACATTTTGTTACTTGACCAACTCTTGATGGTTGATTTAGCACTTCTAAGAAGGCTCAGAATTCCAGATCTTCTATTCTTTCTTTTATGATTTAGGATGGTCGATTTAACCATATCATGAAGCCCTCTTCCTCCATTAAATAGTTGAAAAGTTTGAACGGTCTTTTACCCTCATTGAAACTGCCATTTTCGAGCAACACAACATTATGATCTGAGATGGATTTTGGAAGCAAGAGTTGGGTAAGATCAGGTAAAGAAAATTTATATCCACCAGGAACATGTCTAATCATACAGAGGTCGAACTCTCTCTATTATTACACAATGTAAATTGCCCTCCACTTAGAGGAAGATCAATTAAACAAGATTTTTGAATGAATGGCCTGAAAATCTCCATCGAATCCCAATTCTGAGCTCTGCCCTATTTTTCCTCTTGAGATAGATACATAATAAAATCACCATCCATGCATAAAGGCATCATCTGATTTCCCAAGTAAGATGATAATTCTTCAAAAGAACCTTCTTTATCAGCCTTTGTAGTTGGCCCGTAAACATTGATAAAACCATATTTATATTGGTTTTCTCGAAATTGTCCAAAAATAGCAATGTACCTCCTATGAATGAATTGATCTTTGGCTTCAAGGATGTTTTCATCCCATCAACTTAATAACCCTCCAGTAGAACCTTCAGTTGGAGAAAACGTAAAACCTTGTAAATTATTTCCCCCAATTTTCCTTAAGATCGATTGCGAAATTGTTTCAACTTTAACTTCCTGTAAAAACAAGAAGGATTCTTTCTTGACCTCAATTTCTGTACTGTTCTTTGTTTCTCCTTTCTTCCCAAACCCCTTATGTTCCAAGTGATGATAGATATACACGACATGATGAAAGAAAAATACCCTTTATTCAACACGAAAGAATTATCTTCCCCCGTTTCCTCCTTAACTCTTCTCCAAGCTAATAATTTTCTCTATA